TTTATCCAAGACAACCTTTTGAAACACCCCCAATCTCACATTACTTACTTGTCGTCTTGGTAGCTCTGCAATCATTGCGTTCTGGTCAGTGTTTTTCCTGTAGCATTTATAGCCTCCCTAATGGCATCGATGAGCACAATAGCTGCTGGCCTCTGATTGATCAATAATTCTCAGGATGTGAGACTTCCACCCCCAGGGTCTTAATTCTAGGGGAAGACCCACTAGTAGCCTCCCACTCACTGATTGGCTTGTGATTCGGTCTGCCTTCCTGTGGAAAGTCTATATGGTTTCTCAATGGCTTTCCAATCGGCATGCAAGACCCCTGACACTTCATCAAGATTTTGTCTATGAACTTTCTTTCTTTCTCCTCTGAAACTGCGTGGCTTTCTGAGTATTTTCAGCATTTTCTATTTTTATATTAGATTTCCAGCATCCATAGTATTTTATTTTTGACTTAATAACCTCCCTGCACTTGTGGTATCCTGAAAAATATCTCCATATCTGCTCTCTCCAGGCCCTCATGATTTTGAATACTTCTATTAGATTTCCTCGAAAGAGAAAATGCACCTTCTCCAAACTGTTGTCTTAATTGAAGTCCTTCACCCTGGAGTAATTCATATAAATCTTTTGTATCCATTCTAATGCATTCATATTGTTTCTAAAGGTGAAAGTGTGGTGACCAGAATTGGATGTGCCTGTCCAGTTTACCCTGAATCAATGTGTATAAATGTTTGCTATAACTCCTTGCTTTTGTAGTATATGCCTTCTTTATAAAACGCAGAATCCTATATGTCCTACTAAGCACTTTCTTCCTTTAGTGATTTGTGTGCATAAACAACATATTTTTGCACATTTCCCTTTGTTTCTGCACCCCGTTTAGAATTGTGCACTCTCATGATGTCCCTTCCCATGCTTCCAACTAAAACATATCATTTTGCAGCTCCCCATTTTAAATTTTACCTGACATGTGTGTTTATTTCTACTAACTCTAATTTGTCTACATCTTGAAGTCTATAACTATCACCCTAAAGCTCACAACACTTCAAGGTTTTGTGACCTCTAAATTTTGAAATTGTGCCCAAGTACTAGGTCATTGATATTGTTCAAGTAAAACAGAGGTCCTAACACTTTGCACGCATATGCGATTAACTTTTTTACACTCTGGGCTTTAACTTTGCTGATAAAACCATGACGTGGACTTTATCAAAGAAGTTGATGAGTAATGTGTTGTGCAATTTACCTTTTTACACTCTGGGCTTTAACTTTGCTGATAAAACCATGACATGGACTTTATCAAAGAAGTTGATGAGTAATGTGTTGTATGTGGACTTCCAAAGGCTTTTGATAAAGTGCCTCTACAGAGTTTAAGTCAGATTAGCTAAGCATGATTTGCGTTTAATAAGTCCCTGCTGACTTTCCTTAATCAACCCAGATTTATCATGTTACTGTTAATTTTGTCTTAATTTTCTTTCTAAAAGTTTACCCACCGGTGTGCTAAAACTGGCAGGCCTGTAACATAAGGCTTGCCCGTATACCCTTGTTTGAAAAAGTGTGTAAGATTTGAAGTTCTCTCATCCTTTATCATCCCTGAATCTGAGGAAAATGAAAAACTTATGGTAAGTAAAACAGACATGAAAACAATAAAAATAAGAAGTAGTACAATCCTCTCGCCCTAGAATCGGATGCAAGTTTCCTCTCTCCTCAAGTAAAGATGTATTACTAAATCAAAGAAACTGTAATGCCATTAATGAATAGATGATGATGAGTGTAACGGAAGTGAGTTATGGACTAAGCAAGTCAACCAGTGAGAGTTTGAGATTGAAAGTGAAGGAAGATGTTAATGAATAAATAAATGAGTTAGTGAAAAGAATGGGAATGTGAATGTTCACTTGAGTATTAAATCAGTGTGCACAGGAATGTATGGAAGTCAGATTCAGTCGTAAGAAACAAAATGGAATTGGATAGATACTTATCAAAGACAAATACCATGAGCAAGAGCAAGGAAACATAGGAGCAGGAGTGAGTCATTCATCTTCTTGAGCCTGCACACCATACTAGATAATGCATGTTCATCTACCTAAACACCACATTCCCTCACTATCCATGTAGCTCTGGATGTTATTAGCATCTAGAAATCTATCAATCTCTCTATATCGAACACACTGAATGACTAGGTTTCCCCAGCCTTCTGGCATAAAGAATTCCAAAGGTTCACTACCCTAAGTGGAAAAAAAAATTCACCTGAATGCTAACTATCTTGCCCATTATTCTGAGACTATTCCAACGTGGGGAAATTTCACTTACATCTACTCTGTCCAGTCCTGTAAGAATTTTGTAAGTTCTAATGAGGTCACCTCTCATTCTTCTGGCCTGTTGAGAATATAGGCCCAGTCTCCTCCATATCTCCTAAGTACCATCCCAGTGTCCCAGGAATTAGTCAGGTGAACTTGTGCTGCTCTTCCTCTATGGAAAGAGTGTCCTTCCTTAGGTAATGGAAACAGAAGTGCACACAATACTACAAGTGCATTCGTAGCAGGTTTCTACAATTGAAGCACAAGATCTTTACTCCTGTTCTTAAATCTTGTGATGTAGGCCAATGTGCCATTTGCCTTCCTAACTGCTTGCTGCGCCAGTGTGTTAGCTTTCAGTGACTTATGGCAAGGACGCCCAAGTCCCTTTGGACATCAACACTTCCCAATCTGTCAACATTTAAGAAATATTCTGCAGCTACACTCCTCCCTCCAAATTGGAATGACTCACACTTAGCCACATTATGTTTCATCTGTTGCATTCAGGTTGTCAAATCCCTTTGAAATATGTTCGCATCATCCTCACCTAGTTTTGCATCATCCGCAAACTTGGAAATATTATATTTGGTCCCCACATCTACATTGATGTCGATTACAGTCATAGAGACAAAGAGTCATTTACAAGACAGAAGGAGGCCATTCGGCCTATCAGGGACAAGAGGGTTCGCACACTTCCACACTTGATCTCAGTAATCCTGTGGGTTTGCTTTTCTGCTTTACCACCCCCTAGATATGAATACCGGTGCTTTGCTGTATTTTTCTAAAAATGGGGCTTTGCTACCCTACATTATTAGGTTTAATGATTTGTAAACCCAGGTTTCTGTTTCTCTATCTTATTCAGGCATATACATTTTGAGAAGTATGTGCCCTCAAGCCACCAAATTGTACCAGTTCATATTTATCAATACTGAAGTTCATTTGGCAATTACATATTTATCCTGTTATTGCTTTCTTGAATTAGTCAGTGTCATTCTATGCCTTAGCAACACGCCCCAATTTATTTAACGTCATCCACATATTTTGAAATAAAATTACTAATTTCAGAGTCCATCTCGTTAATATAAGTGAGGACTAACAGTTCAGTGCCAATCCCTGTAGAACACAGTTTATCGAACTGAGTAACTAACATCAAAACCTAACATCAGAGGCCTCACTGATGATGTTGCCTAGCATGGTGACGAAACATCTGAATGAAAACAAGCCAGCTCGGCGAGCAAGTCAACAACAACATCAAAACCTACTTGGAGATAACAAGAACTGCAGATGCTGGAGTCAGAGACAACACAGCGTGGATCTGCAGGAACACAGCAGGCCAGGCAGCAGACAAACAGTGTGGATCTGCAGGAACACAGCAGGCCAGGCAGCAGACAACACAGTGTGGAGTTCCACACTTGTGTTGATTAAAACCTGCTCTCTTGTTTTCTGTCCTGTATCCTGCTTGTTGTGTATTCTGCTATTTGGCCCAATTTTTGAAGATCTGCCTTTTGTCTGAGATCTACTACATGTTACTTATCAAGTGTGTTTTTTTAATATCCAGAAGTGTTCTAATCAAAGACTTTTAGGAAATACAATTTATTGTAAACAACTGTATCTCGCCCATTGACTAGGTCTGCCAATCTGGGAATGACCTGTTTATTCCTATTCTCCGCTTTCTGCCTGTTGACCAATCCTCAGTCCATTGCCAGTATATCATTCCATATTCCATGTGTTCTAAGTTTGTTTAATTTTAGAGGACCTTATCAAAAGCCTGAAAATCAAAATATGCCACACCCACTGGTATCCCTTTTGCTAGTGATATTCTCAAAGCGTCAAGAGGTTTGTCAAAATTGAATCTGTATGCAGATTTTTTTTTAAGTGTTTGGGGGAAGTGAATGATTCAAAGATCAGGTATAGGCAGAATTGAACCAGTCTATGTTGTACATTGAATGTAGAAGTTACTAGGGAAAGGCAGATGGTTAAACAAGCTGATAAAATGTGGACGCAAAGAACTGCGGATGCTGTAAATCAGGAACAAAAACAAAGTTGCTGGAAAAGCTCAGCAGGTCTGGCAGCTCTGTGAAGGAGAAAACAGAGTTAACGTTTCGGGTCCGGTGACCCTTCCTCACCCGAAACGTTAACTCTGTTTTGTCCTTCGCAGATGCTGCCAGACCTGCTGAATTATTTCCAGTAGTTCAGGCAATATGTATTCCTCAACCAACGTCATTAAAGTAG